AGACGTCAGGAACCACGCTCCCCGAAGACACCCCCTGTGAAGACGTCAGGAATCATTCTACCCGGAGAGGCCCACTGTGAAGACGTCAGGAACCACTCTGCCCGAAGACACCCACTGTGAAAACGTCAGGAGCCACTCTGCCCGGAGACACCCCCTGTGAAGACGTCAGGAGCCACTCTGCCCAAAGACACCCATTGTGAAGACGTCAGGAGCCACTTTGCCCGGAGACACCCCTTGTGAAGACGTCAGGAGCCACTCTGTCCAAAGACACCCCTTGTGAAGACGTCAGGAGCCACTCTGCTCGAAGACACCCCCTGTGAAAACGCCAGGAGCCACTCTGCTCGAAGACACCCACTGTGAAGACGTCAGGAATCATTCTGCCCGAAGACACCCACTGTGAAAACGTCAGGAGCCACTCTGCCCGGAGACACCCCCTGTGAAGACGTCAGGAACCACTCTGCCCGGAGACACCCCCTGTGAAGACGTCAGAAGCCACTTTGCCCGGAGACACCCCTTGTGAAGACGTCAGGAGCCACTCTGTCTGGAGACACCCACTGTGAAGACGTCAGAAGCCACTTTGCCCGGAGACACCCCTTGTGAAGACGTCAGGAGCCACTCTGTCTGGAGACACCCACTGTAAAGACGTAAGAAGCCACTTTGCCCGGAGACACACCTTGTGAAGACGTCAGGAGCCACTCTGCCCAAAGACACCCATTGTGAAGACGTCATAAATCACTCTGCCCGAAGACATCCCCTGTAAAAACGTTAGGAATCACTCTGCCCGAAGAGGCCAACTGTGAAGACGTCAGGAGCCACTCTGCCCGAAGACACCCACTGTGAAAACGCCAGGAGCCACTCTGCTCGAAGACACCCCCTGTGAAGACGTCAGGAACCACTCTGCCCGAAGACACCCCCTGTAAAGACGTCAGGAACCACTCTAACCGAAGACACCCCCTGTGAAAACGCCAGGAGCCACTCTGCTCGAAGACACCCCCTGTAAAGACGTCAGGAACCACTCTGCCCGAAGACACCCCCTGTAAAGACGTCAGGAACCACTCTAACCGAAGACACCCCCTGTGAAGACGTCAGGAACCACGCTGCCCGAAGACACCCCCTGTGAAGACGTCAGGAATCACTCTGTCCGGAGAGGCCCACTGTGAAGACGTCAGGAGCCACTCTGCCCGAAGACACCCACTGTGAAAACGTCAGGAGCCACTCTGCCCGGAGACACCCCCTGTGAAGACGTCAGGAGCCACTCTGCCCGGAGACACCCCCTGTGAAGACGTCAGAAGCCACTTTGCCCGGAGACACCCCTTGCCCGAAGACACCCCCTGTGAGAACGCCAGGAGCCACTCTGCTCGAAGACACCCACTGTGAAGACGTCAGGAACCACTCTGCCCGAAGACACCCCCTGTGAGAACGCCAGGAGCCACTCTGCCCGGAGGCACCCCCTGTGAAGACGTCAGGAACCACTCTGCCCGAAGACACCCCCTGTGAAGACGTCAGAAGCCACTCTAACCGGAGACACCCCTTGTGAAGACGTCAGGAACTACTCTGTCTGGAGACACCCACTGTGAAGACGTCAGAAGCCACTTTGCCCGGAGACACCCCTTGTGAAGACGTCAGGAGCCACTCTGCCCAAAGACACCCATTGTGAAGACGTCAGAAATCACTCTGCCCGAAGACATCCCCTGTAAAAACGTCAGGAATCACTCTGCCCGAAGAGGCCCACTGTGAAGACGTCAGGAGCCACTCTGCCCGAAGACACCCCCTGTGAAGACGTCAGGAACCACTCTGCCCGGAGACACCCCCTGTGAAGACGTCAGGAACCACTCTGCCCGAAGACATCCACTGTGAAGACGCCAGCAATCACTCTACCCGAAGACACCCACTGCGAAGACGTCAGGAACCACTCTGCCCGATGACACCCCCTGCGAAAACGTCAGGAGCCAGTCTTCCCGAAGACACCCCTTGTGAAGCCGTCAGCAAACACTCTGTCTGAAGACATCCACTGTGAAAACGTCAGGAACCACTTTACCCGAAGATACCCCCCTGTGAAGACGTCAGGAACCACTCTGCCCGATGACAACCCCTGTGAAGACGTCAGGAATCACTCTGCCCAAAAATACCCATTATAAAGACGTCAGGAAACACTCTGCCCGAAAACACCCCCCTGTGAAGACGTCGGAAATCACTCTGCCCGGAGACACCCCCTGTGAAGACTTCAGGAGCCTCTCTGACCGAAGACACCCCCTGTGAAGACGTCAGGAATCACTCTGCCCAAAGACACCCCCTGTGAAGACGTCGGGAATCACTCTGCCCGAAGACACCCCCTGTGAAGACGTCAGGAACCACTCTTCCCGAAGAAACCCCCCTGTGAAGATGTCAGCAATCGTTCAGCCCAAAGACACCCCCTGTGAAGACGTCAGGAATCACTCTGCCCAAAAACACCCATTATAAAGACGTCAGGAAACACTCTGCCCGAAGACACCCCCCTGTGAAGACGTCGGAAATCACTCTGCCCAAAGACACCCCCTGTGAAGACGTCAAGAAGTACTCTGCCCGAAGACACCCTTTGTGAAGACGTCAGGAATCATTCTGCCCGAAGACACCCCCTGTGAAGACGTCAGCAATCACTCTGCCAGAAGACACCCCCTGTGAAGACGTCAGGAACCACTCTTCCCGAAGACACCCGCTGTGAAAACGTCAGGAGCCACTCTGCCCGGAGAAACCCCTGTGAAGACGTCAATAAGCACTCTGCCCGGAGACACCCCCTGTGAAGACGTCAGGAATCACTCTGCCCGAAGACACCCCCTGTGAAGACGTCAGAAATCACTGCCCGGAGACACCCCCTGTGAAGACGGCAGCAATCACTCTGGCCGAAGACACCCGCTGTGAAAACGTCAGGAGCCACTCTGCCCGGAGAAACCCCTGTCACATCCCCTTTGAAGACGTCAGGAACCAATCTGCTCGAAGACATTGTAAAGACGTCACTCTGCCCGGAGAATCCCCTGTGAAGACGTTAGGAGTCACATCACTTTTCAAGACGTCAGGAACCAATCTGCCCGAAGACATCCCTTGTAAAGACGTCAGGAATCACTCTGCCCGAAGATACCCCTGTGAAGACGTCAGGAATCACTCTGCCCGAAGACACCCCCTGTGAAGACGTCAGGAATCACTCTGCCCGAAGACACCCATTGTGAAGACGTCAGGAATCACTCTGCCCGAAGACACCCATTGTGAAGACGTCAGGAATCACTCTGCCCGAAGACACCCATTGTGAAGACGTCAGGAATCACAATACCCGAAGACACCCCCTTTGAAGACGTCAGCAATCACTCTGCCCGAAGACACCCATTGTGAAGACGTCAGGAATCACTCTGCCCGAAGACACCCATTGTGAAGACGTCAGGAATCACTCTGCCCGAAGACACCCATTGTGAAGACGTCAGGAATCACTATACCCAAAGACACCCCCTGTGAAGACGTCAGGAATCACTCTGCCTGAAGACACCCCTTGTGAAGACGTCAGGAATCACTCTGCCCGAAGACACCCCCTGTGAAGACGTCAGCAATCACTCTGCCCGAAGACACCCCCTGTGAAGACGTCAGGAACCACTTCCCGAAGACACCCGCTGTGAAAACTTCAGGAGCCACTCTGCCCGGAGAATCCCTGTGAAGAACCGATTCTGCCCGAAGACACTGTAAAGACGTCACTCTGCCCGGAGACACCCCCTGTGAAGACGTCAGGAATACCTCTGCCCGAAGACACCCCCTGTAAAGACGTCAGGAATCACTGCCCGGAGACACCCCCTGTGAAGACGTCAGAAACCACTCTTCCCGAAGATACCCGCTGAGAAAACGTCAGGAGCCACTCTGCCCGGAGAAACCCCTGTCACATCCCGTTTGAAGACGTCAGGAACCAATCTGCCCGAAGACACTGTAAAGACGTCACTCTGCCCGGAGAAACCCCTGTGAAGACGTTAGGAGTCACATCCCCTTTGAAGACGTCAGGAATCACTCTGCACGAAGATACCCCCTGTGAAGACGTCAGGAATCACTCTGCCCGAAGACACCCATTGTGAAGACGTCAGGAATCACTATACCTGAAGACACACCCTGTGAAGACGTCAGGAATCACTATACCCGAAGACACCCACTGTGAAAACGTCAGAAGAGGCCTCTCTGACGGAAGACACCCCCTGTGAAGACGTCAGGAACCACTCTGCTCGGAGACACCCACTGTGAAAACGTCAGAAGAGGCCCACTGTGAAGACGTCAGGAACCACTCTGCCCAAAGACACTCATTGTGAAGACGTCAGGAATCACTCTGCCCAAAGACACCCCCTGTGAAAACGTCAGGAGCCACTCTTCCCGAAGAAACCCCTGTGAAGACGTCAGCAATCATTCTGCCCAAAGACACCCATTGTAAAGACGTAAGGAATCCCTCTGCCCGAAGACATCCCCTGTAAAGACGTCAGGAATCCCTCTGCTCGAAGACATCCCCTGTAAAGACGTCAGGAATCACTCTGCCCGAAGACACCCCCTGTGAAGACGTCAGGAGCCACTCTGCCCGGAGAAATCCCTGTGAAGACGTTAGGAGTCACTCTGCCCGAAGACACCCTCTGTGAAGACGTCAGGAATCACTCTGCCCGAAGACATCCCCTGTGAAGACGTCAGCAATCACTCTGCCCGGAGACACCCATTGTAAAGACGTCAGGAATCACTCTGCCGAAGACATCCCCTGTAAAGACGTTAGGAATCACTCTGCCCGAAGACATCCTCTGTGAAGACACCCCTGTGAAGACGTCAGGAGCCACTCTGCCCGAAGACACCTACTGTGAAGACGTCAGGAACCAGTCTGCCCGAAGACACCCACTGTGAAGACGTCAGGAACCACTTTGCCCGTAGACACCCCCTGTGAAGACGTCAGGAACCACTCTGCCAGAAGACATCCCCTGTGAAGACGTCAGGAATCACTCCGCCTGAAGACACCCACTGTAAAGACGTCAGGAACCACTCTGCCCGAATACACCCACTGTGAAGACATCAGGAGTCACTCTGCCCTATGAAGACGTCAGGAACTATTCTGCCTTGTGAAGACACCCCCTATGAAGACGTCAGGAACCAATCTGCCCGAAGACACCCACTGTAAAGACGTCAGGAATCCCTCTGCGCGGAGACACCCCCTGTGAAGACGTTAGGAACCACTCTGCCGGAAGACACCCATTGTAAAGACGTGAGGAATCGCTCTGCCCGAAGACACCCCCTGTGAAGACGTCAGGAATCACTATGCCTGAAGACACCCCCTGTGAAGACGTCAGGAATCACTATACCCGAAGACACCCCCTGTGAAGACGTCAGCAATTACTCTGCCCGAAGACACCCGCTGTGAAGACGTCAGGAGCCACTCTGCCCGGAGAAATCCCTGTGAAGACGTTAGGAGTCACTCTGCCCGAAGACACCCTCTGTGAAGACGTCAGGAATCACTCTGCCCGAAGACACCTCCTGTGAAGACGTCAGGAATCTCTCTGCCCGAAGACACCCCCTGTGAAGACGTCAGGAATCACTCTGCCCGAAGACATCCCCTGTGAAGACGTCAGGAATCACTCTGCCCGGAGGCACCCCCTGTGAAGACGTCAGCAATCACTCTGCCCGGAGACACCCATTGTAAAGACGTCAGGAATCACTCTGCCGAAGACATCCCCTGTAAAGACGTTAGGAATCACTCTGCCCGAAGACATCCTCTGTGAAGACACCCCCTGTGAAGACGTCAGGAATCACTCTGCCCGAAGACACCCCCTGTGAAGACGTGAGGAATCGCTCTGCCCGAAGACATCCCCTGTGAAGACGTCAGGAATCACTCTGCCCGAAGACATCCCCTGTGAAGACGTCAGGAATCACTCTGCCCGGAGACACCCCCTGTGAAGACGTCAGGCACCACTCTGTCCGAAGACACTCCCTGTGAAGACGTCAGGAACCACGCTGCCTGAAGACACCCCCTGTGAAGACGTCAGGAATCACTGCCCGGAGACACCCACTGTGGAGACGTCAGCAATCATTCTGCCCGGAGACACCCACTGTAAAGACGTCAGGAGCCACTCTGCCCGGAGAAACCCCTGTGAAGACGTCAGGAATCACTCTGCCGAAGACATCCCCTGTAAAGACGTTAAGAATCACTCTGCCCGAAGACATCCTCTGTGAAGACACCCCTGTGAAGACGTCAGGAATCAGTCTGCCCGATGACACCCACTGTGAAGACGTCAGGAGCCACTCTGCCCGAAGCCACCCACTGTGAAGACGTCAGGAGCCACTCTGCCCGAAGACACCCACTGTGAAGACGTCAGGAACCACTCTGCCCGAAGACATCCCCTGTGAAGACGTCAGGAACCACTCTGCCCGAAGACACCCACTGTGAAGACATCAGGAGTCACTCTGCCCTATGAAGACGTCAGGAACTATTCTGCCTTGTGAAGACACCCCCTATGAAGACGTCAGGAACCAATCTGCCCGAAGACACCCACTGTAAAGACGTCAGGAATCCCTCTCCGCGGAGACACCCCCTGTGAAGACGTTAGGAATCACTCTGCCCGAAGACATCCTCTGTGAAGACACCCCCTGTGAAGACGTCAGGAATCACTCTGCCCGGAGACACCCCCTGTGAAGACGTCAGGCACCACTCTGTCCGAAGACACTCCCTGTGAAGACGTCAGGAACCACGCTGCCTGAAGACACCCCCTGTGAAGACGTCAGGAATCACTGCCCGGAGACACCCACTGTGGAGACGTCAGCAATCATTCTGCCCGGAGACACCCACTGTAAAGACGTCAGGAGCCACTCTGCCCGGAGAAACCCCTGTGAAGACGTCAAGAAGCACTCTGCCCGAAGACACCCATTGTGAAGACGTCAGGAATCACTCTGCCCGAACACACCCCCTGTGAAGACGTCAGGAATCACTTTGCCCGAAGACACCCATTGTGAAGACGTCAGGAATCACTCTGCCCGAAGATACCCATTGTGAAGACGTCAGGAATCACTCTGCCCGAAGACACCCCTGTAAAGACGTCAGGAATCACTCTGCCCGAAGACACCCACTGTGAAGACGTCAGGAATCACTCTGCCCGAAGACACCCACTGTGAAGACGTCAGGAGCCACTCTGCCCGAAGACACCCACTGTGAAGACGTCAGGAGCCAGTCTTCCCGAAGACATCCCCTGTGAAGACGTCAGGAATCACTCTGCCCGGAGACATCCCCTGTGAAGACGTCAGGAACCACTCTGCCCGAAGACACCCACTGTGAAGACATCAGGAGTCACTCTGCCCTATGAAGACGTCAGGAACTATTCTGCCTTGTGAAGACACCCCCTATGAAGACGTCAGGAACCAATCTGCCCGAAGACACCCACTGTAAAGACGTCAGGAATCCCTCTGCGCGGAGACACCCCCTGTGAAGACGTTAGGAATCACTCTGCCTGAAGACACCCCCTGTGAAGACGTCAGGAATCACTCTGCCCGAAGACACCCTCTTTAAAGACGCCAGGAATCACTATGCCCGGAGACACCCCTTGTGAAGACATCAGGAACCACGCTGCCCGAAGACACCCCCTGTGATGACGTCAGGAATCACTGCCCGGAGACACCCACTGTGGAGACGTCAGCAGAGTCCAACTGTGAAGACGTCAGGAACCTTTCTGCCCCCTGTGAGGACGTCAGGAACCAATCTGCCCGACGACACCCACTGTAAAGACGTCAGGAATCCCTCTGCGCGGAGACACCCCCTGTGAAGACGTTAGGAATCACTCTGCCTGAAGACACCCATTGTGAAGACGTCAGGAACCACTCTGCCGGAAGACACCCATTGTAAAGACGTCAGGAATCACTCTGCCAAAGGCAGCCCCTGTAAAGACATCAGGAATCACTCTGCCCGAAGACACCCCCTGTGAAGACGTCAGGAATCGCTCTGCCCGAAGACATCCCCTGTGAAGACGTCAGGAATCACTCTGCCCGAAGACACCCCCTGTGAAGACGTCAGGCGCCACTCTGTCCGAAGACACTCCCTGTGAAGACGTCAGGAATCACTCTGCCCGAAGACACCCCCTGTGAAGACGTCAGGAATCACTGCCCGGAGACACCCACTGTGGAGACGTCAGCAATCATTCTGCCCGGAGACACCCACTGTGAAGACGTCAGGAATCACTATACCCGGAGACACCCCTTGTGAAGACATCAGGAACCACGCTGCCCGAAGACACCTCCTGTGAAGACGTCAGGAATCACTGCCCGGAGACACCCACTGTGGAGACGTCAGCAATCATTCTGCCCGGAGACACCCACTGTGAAGACGTCAGGAGCCACTCTGCCCGGAGAAACCCCTGTGAAGACGTCAAGAAGCACTCTGCCCGAAGACACCCATTGTGAAGACGTCAGGAATCACTCTGCACGAAGACACCCCCTGTGAAGACGTTAGGTGTCACTCTGCCCGAAGACACCCATTGTGAAGACGTCAGGAATCACTCTGCCCGAAGACACCCATTGTGAAGACGTCAGGAATCACTCTGCCCGAAGACACCCACTGTGAAGACGTCAGGAATCACTCTGCCCGAAGACACCCCCTGTGAAGACGTCAGGAATCACTCTGCCCGAAGATACCCATTGTGAAGACGTCAGGAATCACTCTGCCCGAAGACACCCCCTGTAAAGACGTCAGGAATCACTCTGCCCGAAGACACCCATTGTGAAGACGTCAGGAATCACTCTGCCCGAAGACACCCATTGTGAAGACGTCAGGAATCACTCTGCCCGAAGACACCCCCTGTGAAGACGTCAGGAACCACTCTGCCCGAAGACACCCCCCGTGAAGACGTTAGGAATCTCTCTGCCCGAAGACACACCCCGTGAAGACGTCAGGAGAGACCCACTGTGAAGACGTCAGGAACCTATCTCCCCGAAGACACCCCCTGTGAAGACGTCAGAAGAGTCCCACTGTGAAGACGTCAGGAACCTTTCTGCCCCCTGTGAGGACATCAGGAATCACTCTGCTCGGAGACACCCACTGTGAAGATGTCAGAAGAGGCCCACTGTGAAGACGTTAGGAACCTCTGTGACGGAAGACACGCCCTGGAACCTTTCTGCCCCCTGTGAAGACGTAAGAACTCACTCCGCCCGAAGATAAGCCCTTTGAAGACGTCAGGAGCCACTCTACTTGAAGACATCCATTGTGAAGACGCCAGGCGGAAATGTTGCAAACAATAATATTCATATAAGGTATTGGATATCGGAACCACTCTGTGAAGATGTCAAGAAAACTGCCCGAAGATGACCACGATCAGATTACATATATTTCCCTCTGCAAATCTATACAAGTGAGCAGATTACACAAACCAAATTGCACATACAATGCCAACACGGTTTAAAACTCGAAAACACAAACTAAGAGCTCGTTAGACAATACACACTAAATCCCGAACAACGTAACTGAGCATGCCGTCGGCTACCTGCTTATTTTATCTTGACGAAATGATCACTCGGAAACACAATCCGCACAGGTAGTGGGGGAACCGGGAGAGGATCCATGTGAAGAGGAACGGTGTTGACCTCGCTTGACCCGATGGCGCGTCGGAAGAGAATTTAGGTATTTTCATTCCGGGAGAAATAGCAGGTACTGCGTTGTTTAATAATAAATGATGATTATTAGTTACAGGATTTCATGTATTAAGATATGATACTTCAAGTGTGTGTATATCTACATATACATACACACGCACACATCTATATGGACATATGTATATATATATATGTATGTATATATATATATATATATATATATATATATATATATATATATATATATATATATATATATATATTTGTTTATAACACTATAGTAATTATAATGATTATAATATAAATTACCATCGATATTAATAGCACTAGTAAAAAATACATTTTCCCGCCAAATGAAATCAGGTAAGGCAGAGCCAACTATCTTTCACAAAAAGTATAAAAAAAATGAGCACAGCATTTTCCCATTTTTTGTTCATTTTCACCCGTCGCGAATGGATATATATATATATATATATATATATATATATATATATATATATATATATATATATATATGTACATATATATATATATATATATATATATATATATATATATATATATATATATATATATATATATATACATATATATATATATATATATATATATATGTACATATATATATATATATATATATATATATATATATATATATATATATATATATATATATATGTACATATATATATATGTATATGTATATATATATATGTATATATATATATATATATATATATATATATATATATACATATACATATATATATATATATATACATATATATATGTGTGTGTGATGCATATATATACATATATATACACATTATATATGTCTATATATAATATATTTCATATATATGTATGTATACATACACACACACACACACACATATATATATATATATATATATATATATATATATATATATATATATATATATATATATATATATATAGATAGATAGATAGATAGATAGATAGATATATAGATAGATATAGATAACTAGAAAGATCGATCATAGTGTTTACTAACACTGTTTTGTTCTATGAAATGAAGACATGATGCCATCATTAAAATCGAGATGCAGTAGTCAGTGATGCAATTTATGAATTTGGTATGGGAGCATAAAATCGCAAAGTTCATAGATGTTAAAGACATCATTAGAAATACCTTTTTTTGGAATGTTCTCCTTAAAATATCACTCTAAGGATGAGGAGGAAACGTTTTCATTTAGGAGAGTTGCCCATCATATGATAGAAAACTCGTGGGTAGCTAGAATAAAAGATAAACTGGGATTTTGTGACAGGTCAATTGATCTGGTATGATAATTCTGTTCGATCTGTTTATTACATTTTAACCAATAGGGAGACAAGGTAGTAACTGAAATTACGTCAGTTCCTTGTTGTGATATTTTCTAATAGTATGCTTGATAGTAAAGTAAAGGATATTGTCCATATTCTTTACTTTAATACGCAGTCTTCGCATTAAGTTGAATTGCAGTTATTTCAATTCGTGCTTGTAAAATATGAATGAAACGAGCTACAGAATAGTTTTTTGCAGTCTTATCTACAGAACGCGCAAGACAGATACGGCTGAAAAGAACGGAGATTTCCTCTTTTATTAAGGTTATCCTATAAGTTAATATATCTTGTGTAATGGGTCGCTCAAACACTTCCGTTCACAGTAGCATATAAATGTGGTAAAATTCATATGAAACATCGCTCTCCGTTTCAAGTTTCAAAGAGAAAAGTAAGAAAACAAAACATAAGAGTTCCAAACTTCTTTATTTCGCATCAATTCGTAGAATATAAGAATCAAAACAAGAAAACATAAACGGTCCAACACTGAAATACTGGGAATAAGAAACCAACTATTCAGACACTAAAACAAATCGTGCTATGGCAAGATAAGCTCCAACTAAAACCCTATGAAGACACCCCCTGTGAAGACGTCAGGAGCCACTCTGTCCGAAGACATCCGCTGCGAAGACGTCAGGAACCACTCTGCCCGAAGACACCCCCTGTGAAGACGTCAGGAACCACTCTGCCCGAAGACACCCACTGTGAAGACATCAGGAGTCACTCTGCCCTGTGAAGACGTCAGGAACAATTCTGCCCGGAGACACCCCCTGTGAAGACGTCAGTAACCACTTTGCCCTGTGAAGACGTCAGGAGCCACTTTGCCCTGTGAAGACACCCACTGTGAAGATGTCAGGAACCAATCTGCCCGAAGAGGACGTTAGGAATCCCTCTGCCCGGAGACACCCCCTGTGAAGAAGTCAGGAATCACTCTGCCCGAAGACACCCCCTATGAAGACGTCAGAAGCCACTCTGCCCGAAGACACCCTGTGAAGACGTCAGGAACCACTCTGCCCGAAGACACCCCCTGTGCAGACCTCAGAAAACACTCAGCCCGAAGACACCTCCTGTGAAGACGTCAGAAGCCACTCTGCCCGGAGAAACCCCCTGTGAAGACGTCAGGAATCAGTCTGACCGAAGACACCTCCTGTGAAGACGTCAGAAGCCACTCTGCCCGGAGAAACCCCCTGTGAAGACGTCAGGAATCAGTCTGACCGATGACACACCCTGTGAAGACGTCAGGAGCCACTCTGCCCGAAGACACCCACTGTGAAGACGTCAGGAGCCACTGCCGGAAGACACCCACTGTGAAGACGTCAGGAAGCACTCTGCCCGAAGACACCCACTGTGAAGACGTCAGGAACCACTTTGCACGTAGACACCCCCTGTGAAGACGTCAGGAACCACTCTGCCCGGAGACACCCACTGTGAAGACGTCAGGAATCCCTCTGCCAGAAGACATCCCCTGCGAAGACGTCAGGAACCACTCTGCCCGGAGACATCCCCTGCGAAGACGTCAGGAACCACTCTGCCCGAAGACACCCCCTGTGAAGACGTCAGGAACCACTCTCCCCGAAGACACCCACTGTGAAGACATCAGGAGTCACTCTGCCCTGTGAAGACGTCAGGAACTATTCTGCCTTGTGAAGACACCCCCTATGAAGACGTCAGGAACCAATCTGCCCGAAGACACCCACTGTAAAGACGTCAGGAATCCCTCTGCGCGGAGACACCCCCTGTGAAGACGTCAGGAATCACTCTGCCCGGAGACATCACCTGCAAAGACGTCAGGAACCACTCTGCCCGGAGACATCCATTGTGAAGACGTCAGAAGCCACTCAGCCCGAAGACACCTCCTGTGAAGACGTCAGAAACCACTCTACCCGGAAAAAAACCCTGTGAAGACGTCAGGAATCACTCTGCCCGAAGACACCCCCTGTGAAGACGTCAGGAGCCACTCTGCCCTGTGAAGACGTCAGGAACAATTCTGCCCGGAGACACCCCCAGTGAAGACGTCAGGAACCACCTTGCCCTGTGAAGACGTCAGGAGCCATTTTGCCCTGTGAAGACACCCACTGTGAAGGAACCAATCTCCCGAAGAAAATCTCCTATGAGGACGTTAGGAATCCCTCTGCCCGGAGACACCCCCTGTGAAGACGTCAGGAACCACTCTGCCCGAAGACACCCCCTATGAAGACGTCAGGAATCACTCTGCCCGAAGACACCCCCTATGAAGACGTCAGAAGCCACTCTGCCCGAAGACACCCATTGTGAAGACGTCAGAAGCCACTCTACCCGAAGACATCCCCTGTGCAGACCTCAGAAAACACTCAGCCCGAAGACACCTCCTGTGAAGACGTAAGAAACCACTCTACCCGGAGAAACCCCCTGTGAAGACGTCAGGAGCCACTCTGCCCGAAGACATCCTCTGCGAAGACGCAGACCTCAGAAAACACTGCCCGAAGACACCCCCTGTGAAGACGTCAGAAGCCACTCTGCCCAAAGACACCCCCTGTGAAGACGTCAGGAATCACTCTACCCGAAGACACCTCCTGTGAAGACGTCAGGAGCCACTCTGCCCGATGACATCCCCTGCGAAGACGTCAGGAACCACTCTGCCCGGAGACACCCCCTGCGAAGACGTTAGGAATCACTCTGCCCGGAGACATCCCCTGCGAAGACGTCAGGAACCACTCTGCCCGAAGACACCCATTGTAAAGACGTCAGGAACCACTCTGCCCGAAGACACCCACTGTGAAGACATCAGGAGTCACTCTGCCCTGTGAAGACGTCAGGAACTATTCTGCCTTGTGAAGACACCCCCTATGAAGACGTCAGGAACCAATCTGCCCGAAGACACCCACTGTAAAGACGTCAGGAATCCCTCTGCGCGGAGACACCCCCTGTGAAGACGTTAGGAATCACTCTGCCTGAAGACATCCCCTGGGAAGACGTCAGGAATCACTCTGCCCGGAGACATCCCCTGCAAAGACGTCAGGAACCACTCTGCCCGAAGACACCCATTGTGAAGACGTCAGAAGCCACTCAGCCCGAAGACACCTCCTGTGAAGACGTCAGAAACAACTCTACCCGGAAAAAAACCCTGTGAAGACGTCAGGAATCACTCTGCCTGAAGACACCCCCTGTGAAGACGTCAGGAGCCACTCTGCCCTGTG